ATAAACAACAATAAACAATAAACAATATGCAATGTGTTGCTTGAATGAAAGCTGCGAATCCAAGATCACACCCAAGTCTTTCACCTGATTCACGCGTTCGATTGTCGAGCCAAGCAGGTCATAGCTAAATATTATCGGTTGTTGTTTTCTTGAGAACGTAATAGCGGAGCATTGGGCTGGGTTCACTACCATTCTGTTTAACCTGCACCAACTAGCGAATACATACATGGAGCAGATTTGTAGGAAGATTTTGAGGTCATCTGCATATGATAACCGAGGAGCTTCGATGACCAGATGCACGTCGTTAAAGTACAGTATAAAAATTAACGGTCCCATGTGGCTTCCCTGAGGTATACCTGATGTGGCGAAGAAGCTAGCTGATCTGCAATCCCTAAGGCAACTTATAGTTGCCGACCGGTAAGATATGATCGAAACCAACTCAGAAGATTACCGCATACACCGAGCCTGCCGAGTTTAGCAATCGCAATTGTCTAATGCTGCGGATAGGTCTGAATAAATAACGTCCGTTTGAACCCGATCCGACATGCTTTCGGTTATATACGATGTGAGACACAGGTAGTTGTAGAGCGGCCGACAGTAAACCCATGTTGATCAGCACTCAAATACTGCTTGCAATGGGACAGCAACGGTTCCATAATCACTAGCTCGAATAGCTTTAAAACGGCACTTAACGATGTAATTCCTCGATATTTATCCACAGCTCGTTTCCTTCCTTTTTTGTGGACGGGAAACATGTGCGCAAATTTCCACCAAGATGGAAATATGCCAACTGAGAGAGACATTCGGAACAGGTGAAGAAGCGGAATTAACAAGCTAGCAATATGTCTCTTCAAAAATACAGATCGAACTCCATCAGGTCCAGGATTGAAGGATGACTTGAGCAGAGTCGCGGCCTTAGAAATCATTTCTGCAATAACATCAATTGCACCCAGCGTTTGATCGTTTACTGGAACGTTCCTGGCAGCCAGGTTAATATGTCGTCAGTTAGTGTCTCATTAGTGAATACACTGGCAAACTTTTCGGAAAAAAGGTGGCATATATCCTGAACAGTGGCAGCCACTTCTCCGTTGAATTCCATAGACGATGGGAGGCCGGATTCCCTGCGTTGCTCGTTCACGTAGTTCCAAAAGGATTTCGGGTGAAGCTTAAGTTTGCGCTGGATGCCTCGTTGGAAACTTGAAAAGCATTCACGACTGACTCGCTGGTACATGTGATTCAGCCTCACATAATGTAGTTTCAGAGGAAGCGTGCGATACTTCGTAAATCTTCTCAATGCTGCTCTCTTGATTGACTTCAACCTACGTAGCTCTCTCGTCTGCCAGGGAGGGTGAGACACTTTGTGGTGAGTTCTTTTCGGGACGTGTCTGTCAATGACGTATGCCAAGACATGTGAAAAGGTTTGCGCTGCAGCCTCAACGTCATCTGGATCAAGGATGTTCTCCCATACCATGCTAGACAATACATCTATGATGCTACGGTGGTCAGCTTTACGGAAGTCATGTGGAACTAGCCTAGTTAGTGCACAAGGAGCCGAGGAAATTGATGGAGCCCTGTCCTGTGTGCTCACGAAGCAGAGGTCCAAACTACGACCATTTTCGTTAACTACATGGTTAATTTGAGAAAGCGTCGCTGCGCTGTAGTTGTCGAGAAGGATAATAGCTCCTGCGTAAAATGTAGAGCTATCAGGATCTGGATACAGGAATCCGCTATGAGATGGAATCCACGAAACGCCTGGCAGATTGAATTGTAATTGTAATTGTTCAGTGCATAGGCTGTGCCTTCCGCTAAGAAGGCTTATCTAGGGACCAACCCCCTAGTCTATACACCTACTGTCCTTCCCGTTGCACTCGTCAGCTCGTGCGATACACACATGGGTGGTCGTATCCGGGTCCTCCCCTGGGTAGGCTCGTGTCCGTCCAGGTTCTGGTACATTAACTTATCTATATGCATGGTAATTATACTTTTAAAACTCACCTTTTGATTATAATGTCGAAAATGCTGAAACTAAATAAAGGTTAGCGATCCATATAAGGTGTGTGCTGCGACGGAGTAGTAATTGAAGGAAATGAGGTTCTGATGTGAAGTATAGGTAATTCTAAAATAGGTAAATCAATTAATCATTAGCTGCTAACAGTTACTAATAAATGGGTACGATAAATCACTCATCAATGAGTATTGCCACTCCCACTGAAAAATGGGCAAAACCTTAATCATAAATGGATATTCGATTCCTACCGTGTATTTAAAGTAAAGTTAGGATCTTATCAAGCAAGCACACACCTTTTACGATTCTTATCCTACTTACGGTTTCCTGCACATACGACTTTTCCTAGATACAAGCTTCGTCCAGTATACATTGGCTGTCTCCAACCGGCATGATCCTTTCTGTCTGCTTCCTCTTGCCGGTGCAAGTTTAATTCTTCTTTTCTTGTTCGAATTTTCTTTTTCTCCTATTGATCTTCTGGTCGTGTTCCCATTTGTCCTCAGGCAGTTAATATTAGTACATGATAGGAAGAAAGAAAGAAATAGAACAAGTTAAGTGTGAGCCGCATGCATTGGTTACTTATTTGGGTCATGGTGTTGTCTTCCCTATTTATTTGCCTCTATTCGCTCTCATATCACAACGTTTAACTCTGGATCAACAATAGAAAAGGGCCCATCAGCATTTGTAAACAAACCGCTCCAAAGCCCCCCACTCAAAAAGCGAAGGCCACCCACGCAAACCAACACCATCATCGGACAGGGGAAACTTCCACCTACACGAAGATGGTGTTGGTCCGCGTGAGCAGCCCCCGATCCGTGAGGAATGGGCTTTGGACGGTCTGCCCACAAACGCCGATGGGCCCCCCTCCATTGTTGATCCAGAACTCACCCCCTTCCCTCACACTATTATGGTCGGAAAAGAGAACCCAAATTTAGGAATCTATCGTGAACTGCGATGCAGAAGATATTAATAGCAAACTAATCTGGAACTGGTCTAAGACATATGACCCAGTGAGTATTGACACCTCACACTGTTGTGAATGAGCACGGACGCGAGATTTGCTAGAGTATTAAATGCAAAACGCAAATTCAAAATAAAACTTGACAAGTCATCGTCAATCCCCTTATTCTTGGGCAGGGTCTGACGATGTGAATCTGATTTTGATCAGTGAACGGGCCCCATATGGTACATTTTCTCACTATGAACATGTCATTTCCAGCCTATCTGAACTATTTAATAAATGGAAACCATAACATGGGTTACGCTCCCCTAAGCGGGCCCTCCGCATCCTATCTCTGTCTTATCTCAAATGCCAATGGTTTGAATGTATCAATATATACATTGGAAATGACGTTCAATCAAATAAACCCATACCCCACTCACTTGGCCAGGCTTCAGAATCGTCCAGTGGGCAGTGCGCTCTACACTCCAAGTTCCCTTTCTTTCAAATTCACCCCAAATTTGATATTTTACCCCTTTGAGTGTTGATTAATCACAATGAAACATTGTGACGGAGCACGGACTTGAGGTTACTAGAGTATTAAATAATCTAGGTCCTATTTAGGATTATATCTGAAAAATCCAAATTTGGCCAACGCCCACCACGAAATGCCTGGCAGATTGAAGTCACCAAAAATGAATATCTCATCAACTGGAGTGGAACTTTCGACAACTGTGAAAACTGACCGACAGTGAGTATCGATGAGTTCATTGTCGCGGACTCGATCAGATGGAATGTACAGAGCGCATAAAAATAGTGTGCGATCACCCAGATTGATGGCTGTTCAAACCTGCTCCACATAGTTCCATGAATCGTTCTCGATAGCCTTTGCCACCAACCCGCTACGGACAGCTACAAGGACACCTCCACCAGTAGATTTACGGCTGTTGTTAGGATTCCGATCGCATCGAAAGACCTCGTAATCAGGACCGAAGATTTGACTGGAAAGCGTTCGATAATCGAGCCACGTTTCGCACAGGACAATAATATCGTAGCAACGATCCGATACAGCTAGGCGGTACTGTTCAACATCAGAATTCATTCCACCGGCGTTTTGGTAGAAGATCACGACGTCCTGCTTGCGGCAAGGAATCGAACGACTGCTCTCCCTAGAAATCACAGATACATCAGGCAATAACTGACCATCATCAAGTCTCAGTGGGTTGGAAGACCCCCTCTCCTTATCCGACAGCAGGTCCGGAACGACTATGATGAACGAAGGCTGCTGATGGCAGGACTGAGACGGAGGGATTGGGGGCTTCCATGGGGCTTTCTACGGCGCGTTCCGGGTTTCCATGATTAGGAGTTACAGAGGCATCATCACAATGACTAACATAGTTAGAATTGCTGAAAATTTGATCGGCATCAGGCAGTGAATAGTTAATATATTGATTGTACTTGCTTGTAGAGGCAAGGTGGAAGACTCCTGATTCATATCCAGCCACAGGTCCAGGACGACTATGCTGAACGCTGGCGGGAATCGGCACGCCTGGGCTGGAGTAACCAGGAGCTTCCAAAGAGCGGTCTATTGTGCGTCCCGGAGATGAATTAGGATTGTTCGAACAGTAAAGCGGATGTTGTGAATGAGCAGTATCAGAAGTGCTTCGGTAAGCGTGATTACCTCTCACCCCAACAGGCCTGGGTTCAATGCCAGTCGCCCGCAGGAATGTTCTGAGGCATAACATCTCTGATCACGCCTTCCTTCGGAAAGGAAAGTAAAGCCGTTGGCCCCCGGTTCATGAGTTGATGGGTCGATAGGTAGGGTCCAGGTGAGGGAGCTGCCTCCCTGGCGTCGGTAGCATTGGTGCTCAGCACGGAAAACAAGATCGACGGAAAACAAATCAAGGAAAAAAAAACAGAAAATTTGATCATAACATCGAATTATTTCATAATTCTGAAAAACATATGTTTATGCGAAATGAGCATTTGCTTATTTGTAACCGTGGGACACGTTCGGATCAATGACTTAGCGGCCAACTTTTACAATGCTTCACTTGGGAATAGGGTTCTTATATTTTACCAAAAAATTAAGAATTTTCAAATGTCTTCCTCTACCGACTATGTACGCCAAAAGTCAAATCAGTTCACAACTGTTACTATAATAGCTTTGCTTCGATTCAAATAGCAAAAAGAAAAAAAAAAAGAAAAACAATGCACTTTTTAGTTCACCTTTAACTGCTTGGAATCAGGGAAAAAACGCTTCATAACCTGTTCCACGTCCAGCTTTACTCCGACGGGGTTCTCCTCGAGCACGGTCGTTTTGCGGCCCTTGTACTCCACATTTCTAAAGGCACAGCTGGGCGCTTTTGCCGGTTTCCATCCGTTGGGCAGAGTGGCTTCGTGGGTAATGAAGACGGTTTGCTGGCTTAGCCCGAGATCTACCTTTTCGAGTTGCTTGCCATCGGCGCTCAGAAGCCGATAGGACTGATCGTTCAAGCCAAACAACGAGTGGATCTCCTGGTTCAATTGATCCATGTTGAGGAGGTCACCCTTAACGTTGGTCAGAAGCACGGTTGCCTCTCGAGACGGCTTCGGTTGATAGCGAGGGGTGATCCTTTCGTCCAGGACCAAATTCATCCAAGGACTGGCAGGAATTGACCGATCCTTCGGTGAACAGATTACAATATTCAGTTGAACTCCCTTCAATTCCTGGGATTCTTCAATCAACACTTGCTTCGCAGCAGCCTCCGGTCCGTACGGAACGAACGGTGACTTAACGGTGTTCACAATGAACTCCTGGTGACTTTCCGCTACGCTCTTAATTTCGCCATCTTTGCTGACAGTATAGTAGATAAGAACCGGATCCGTTGGGATCAGTTTAGCCTTCTTTTTCAACTTCTGAATACGGTTGATAATTTCACGAGCAACGCCTTCCTTCATGAGTTCCTCGTTCGGAGTCATGTCGAGCAGAACGAGCACGTCGTTATCACTGTGAGCTTCATAGTTATGCCCTCCCGATTGGTTCTCATCAAATTGATAGATCAATCGGAGTTCGTTCAGTTCGATACGATGTCCCAGCACCGTGAAATGGCCCATCTTCACTTGCTCGCTGATCTGCTCGTCGGTTAGTGCTTTCACCGCTTGAATGACCTGCTTGAAATCATTCTTCAATCGTATTCCCAAAACCTTATGATCCGGTTCAGCTCGCAGCTTAACACCATACTTTTGCTTATCCGAGCTCATGGTTATCTTCCGCACATTCAGCTCATCCAAAATGAAGTTTTCCAACGATTTAATGTCATCCAAATACTCCTTGCTTTGGTGGATAACGATAACCTCCGTCAAGGGGTATTTGATTGGAACGGTTCTACGATCTCGCATCACGCGGCCCAGTTCTACGACAGCTTGCATCCTCGAAACAGCGCGTTCAATAGGAAGATTTATGTACTTCTTGTTCGACTCCGGCATCATCTGGAAGTGGACGCTACCTTCAATCTGCTCCTTGTTCAGCAGTCTCAACCGCTGGAACATATATTCCGTCAAATACGGCGTAAACGGAGCCATCATCTTCACCATCGCCAACAGAACGTCATACAAGGTGTCCAGCGCGTGGTAGCAATCTTCGATACCAAATTCGCCCTTGATACGCTTGCGGTTCATCCGGACGTACCAATTGGTCAGCTGATCGATAAACTTGGTCAACCGCGGTACCACCGTGTACAGATGATAGGCCTTCATTTCCTTGGTGACAAAGTCGAGCAGCGATTCCTTGAAAGACGTAATCCAGACGTCCATCACGTTGGTGGAGCGGTTTTCAGCGTGGCGCACCGCATCGTAGCGATAGACGACTTTCTCTTCCTTCTCGAAGCGATCGATGTTCTGCAGCAGGAAGCGGAATGCGTTGTACCACGGCAAAAAGACATCCTTGATGATATCCTTGACGCCTTCCTCCTTGAACCTGGATTTGGAGAGTAGAAGAGAGGAGAATGTTGCCGTTAGTGTTAGATGCCAAAATCCACTGGAAGGGAAAACACGTTGATTGATCGTTGGGACCGATTTTTCACAAGCTGCATTATCAATTTTCATCAACAAATTTGCCCTCACGTTTAAACAAAAAGCAAGCAATCCTCAATCAAAACTTGAAAACGGTCTATCAGCTTCTGTAAACAAAACTTGTAATGCTCTGTTATCGTCATCTAATAACTGTTATCATAATCACTAGGCTTGATTGCTTTTCAGCAATTGAATCAACACATACTTATAAACAACAATATTTATAGCTGCAAGATGACAGGCACCCGTTCACGAAAGGAAAACAACGTTGAAATAATCAGAACGAACGAAGTCATGCATAATGTCAACATTAACTCACCTCAAATTTTCCGCCCGAACCACGGGCGAGTTGATCAAGTACAGCCGCAGCGCATCCGCTCCGTACTTGTGGACCACCTCCATCGGATCCGGGTAGTTCTTCTTACGCTTGCTCATCTTCTGCCCGTCCCCAGCCAACACCAGCCCGGTGCAGTTCAGATTCTTGAACGGGGGCTTGTTGAACAGGGCCGTCGAAATGACCAACAACGTGTAGAACCAGCCACGCGTCTGATCGATACCTTCGGCAATGAAGTCAGCCGGGAAGCTGTTGCTCAGGAAATCCGCTGCGTTCTCAAACGGATAGTGGTTCTGGGCGAACGGCATCGAACCGGACTCGAACCAACAGTCAAACACTTCCGGAATTCGTCGCAGCGGAGGATTTCCCGGCACAGCCGATGGGATTTCGATGTGATCGATACTTTCTCGATGAAGATCGTTCACTCGCACACCGGAGTACTTTTCCAGCTCTTCAATGCTTCCGATGCACACAACTTCCTGGCCATCAGGAGAAATCCAAAGTGGAATCGGTGTTCCCCAGTAACGATTGCGACTAATGGCCCAATCACGAGCATCACGTAACCAGTTTCCGAATCGTTTTTCCTTGACGTACTCCGGGACCCAGTAGGTTTGCGAACTGCAATTCAGCAACTGTTTGGTCATATGCTCCACGCGAACGAACCACGAAGGGACGGCCTTATAGATCAACGGCGTATCCGATCGCCAACAGAAAGGATAGTTGTGCTTGACTTGACTAGCCAGGACCAGGCGACCCTTTTCCTTAATCATCTTGATGATGTTCTTGTCGGCATCTTTCACGTACTGACCCTTGAAGTCCGTAACCGGATCCATAAACTTGCCGCTCGGATCAACCGGACAAACGATCTCCTGGTCTCGGGTGATTACTCCATTGGCCAAACAAACGCGGTAATCGTCCTCGCCAAAGTACGGCGCCTGGTGAACCACACCGGTACCGGAATCTTCGGTAACATAACCATCCAGCAGCACCCGGAAACCAACTTTTTCGTACTTGTGGAAGTAATCAAACAAGGGTTCGTATTTGAGCCCTCCCAGTTTGCTACCGGGGAAACGATCCAAAATTTCGTAGTTCTCCGGTCCCTTAAACATCGATTCGATACGGCATTCCATCATGATGTAGACTTTGCCGGATTTAAGTTCTTTCACACGAGCGTAGGTCAACTCCGGGTTGACACAGCACGCCATATTGGACGGCAAGGTCCACGGAGTGGTCGTCCAACCCACCAGGGCAGCCTGTAAATAGAAAACGACCTTCTTAATCAATTTCACAACAACTCAAACTAAACAAACCTACATTATCCTTATCGCCCACAATCGGGAACGACACAAACACGGCCGGATCCGTCACCTCCTTGTAGTTCTGGCCCGATTCGAAATTCGACAACGACGTCGTACAAGCCGTTGAGTATGGCATCACCTTGACTCCCTGGTAGACCAATCCTTTCACATACAGCTGCTTGAACACCCACCAGATCGATTCCATATACCACGGATAGAGCGTCTTGTAGTCATTCTTGAAATCAATCCACCGTCCCATCCGACCGACAATCTGTTCCCACTCGTTTGCATAGCGCATCACAATCTTCCGGCACTCGTTGTTGTACGCCTTGATGCCCATCTTGGCCACATCTTCCGGGCCGCGAATGTTCAGCGTCTTGTCGATTTCGTACTCGACCGGCAGCCCGTGGCAATCCCAACCGAACCGGCGCTCCACATGGTATCCCTGCTGGTGCGCGTATCGGGTCACAATGTCCTTCACCGTTCCGGCCAGGATATGACCGTAATGGGGCAACCCGGTCGCAAACGGAGGACCATCGTAAAAAGTGTATCTATGGGGGAAAGCGCTTGTTTACATATCGATGATTCACAAAAAATAAGATGCAATGCAGCAGAAAATTGCATCAGACAGAAAAAACCGCAACTATTGAATGTTCCTACAATGGAAATTGCATCCGAAAGTGTAGGTTATGGCGAAAATTTCCACGTATATGGCAGAAAGTGTTGGAGAAAAAATCCTTCACTCAACACCAAAAACTTTCCGAGCAAAATCCAAAACTAAAAACTACGCACCTCGGCTTCCCCTTGGATTGCTTCAAACAGGCCTCAAAGACCTTTTCCTTCTTCCAATAGTCCAGAACCTTTTCCTCCTCGTTCGGAAAGCTGATGGTCTCCGGCAGCCGGCGCAAATCGTCCACCGTAACACTGTTCATCTTGAATCGATAGTCGGGTATTTTAATTCAACACTAGCAAAACTGATTTCCGCCAAGGCCACCACGCGAATGTGACGCCTTTCGATCACTTTTGGCTTATAGTTTTCAGACAATAATCACTTTTCACTGGGATGCAAACTTCCGACCGCACATTTTTCGCCAGAAAACTTCAATAAAAGAGTGAATGCAACCTCAAGGCAACGTACGATGACAGCTGGCAAATGCCAACACGTTTACTTGCTGTCTTCTTCCCGATGCTTTTTCTGTTTTGTTGTTGACAAAATTACTGGAGCAACAATAGAAAAAGGCCCAATGTAATTTCTATGCACACCGTTCTAATGCCCACTGTGGACACTAATAGAACCCACCCAAATATGCAAACCAACAGCATCATCGTGAATGAATTTTTTTCTCTACTCGATTATTGATCAGTTCACGAAGATTTGCCGCACTCTTCTCTCACCCGTAAGTTTTGACAGTTTTGGGTGGTTTGTTTTGGCTCCCATTCGTTGCTATCTCTTTTACTCAGAAGCAAAATGATAGGGAGCAAAAAGTGAGGTTAGGGACCGTGCACTGATCTATACTGTTGGTTTGGATGGGCGGCCTTCCATTTGTAAGGAACGGGCTATAGAACGGTTTGTTTACAAATGTTGATGGGCTCTTTTTTATTGTTTCTCCATAAATTTTATTGTCGGGCATGCATGGCAGTGTGGCTAGCTTTTAAGAAATACTTTGATTCTATACGCTCATTTCAATTAACTCAAAATAGAGTAATTTCTACTCAACTTCGTGAACGGCAACAAAATTAATCGACATTGTGCATTCATTTATGATAGGGTCTATAGGGCCTAACCAACAATCAATACGAAACTAACGATTTTAAATTGGCTCACCACTTTAGTAGCCTATTGGTCCCAAGCAAACGATTAACGTACCCTATTCTAGTTGAAATTCTATTACTACACTATGTTTGTTTTGATTCGCTATGAAAGTTTGACAGATAACATCAGGGGTGTGTGGATTCATGCAGAACATGCAGGGGTGAGTGAAACAGCTTGGGACTGCTTGGGACCGTTCCCGCATAAGCGCGAACCATAAATTGACCTTACCGATAATGGTTATAAATTGTTTATAATCCCTGCTAAACTTCAACTGAAATGGTTATGGAACTTTACATGAACGTTTAATGATAAAGTTTTAACCTTAAGTATTATAGTTTTTTGGAAGTGGACCTTACAAATAATGGGTTGTTAAGAACCATTACCATTCCAAATTCTTGTTTTCTCCATACATTTTCGGAAAGAAAACTTTACTAAAACCTTTTAACTTATGGTTTAAGAACATTAATGGTAATGGTTATGGTAACCAGTAAGGTCCATGAATAGTTTTGTAACATCGTCAACTTTATGTGGAATATATCGCGAATTGGTTGCCTGTAAATTACTGATTACCAATTCACGGTATATTTCACGTAAAGTTGAGTGATAATACAAAATCATTAATGGACCTTACTGACTACCATAACCATTACCATTAATGTTCTCAAACCATAAGTAAAAACGTTCTAATATAGTTCTCTTTCCGAAAATGTATGGAGAAAACAAGAATTTGGAATGGTAATGGTTCTTAACAACCCATTATTTGTAAGGTCCGCTTCCAAAAAACCATAACACATAAGGTTAAAACTTTATCACACAAACGTTCATGTAAGGTTCCATAACCATTTCAGTTGAAGTTTAGCAGGGATTATAAACAATTTATAACCATTATCGGTAAGGTCATGTGATGGTTCGCGTTTATGCGGGTTGTTCTGGTAAAGCCTGGTACGCAGCTGAAAAGTAATGACGTTTTTACGTGCTACGGGATAGGACACGGAATGCAAAAGAAATTACTTTTCCTCAGCATTTCTTGACCCAGTACGCAGTTCAAAAGAAATCGGTAAAGGAAAGATCGATTATATTAGTATCGTGATCGACATGAAGGTGGCGCATTCTGAATGCAATTTCACTTTCCTTGCGGAATAATGGTCTGATCAATTATTCCGTTAGGTAATGTTGGCGTTTATTGCAAAACTGATGTTTTGGATGCATTTAAACAACATAAACACTAATAAGTGTTGATTTTACAATTTGACGACATCTCCCTATAATCTCAAAATTTAGCAGCCTATTGGCGTCTTGCAGTGAAACTTTTCCAAGCTTTCGCCACCTACATTTCGAAGTGAGAACTACTAGAAGGAGGATAGTTACCAAATTTTCCAAGTAAAACAGACGCTTTTTGGCGCAAATCGGTCCATAAAGAAAAACTCATAATTTCCCGTGGAAACTTTTGCTTGAATCGTGTAAGAAACCTTGTTTGAAAACTATTTGTTATTATTTCGGTATGGATCGGAGATGTTTTCATGGCAAACTATGCATAACAAGTTTGCACCCACAGGGAGAGGTTACCTCCTGCGCAGCTGCATTTTTCAGAAAATGGTAAATATGTGCGATTTTCACTAAGATGAAAGTGGAAATTAAGTGAATTTACTTAGGAAAGGTTGTATCATGCTGGTGGTAATAGTGAATTGGTTGTATAGGACGCCAATATTCAATAAATGTTCATTTTGGCCTTTTTTAAGCAAACATATTGATACTCACAATTTTCGTCGGAAAACGCACCAGAACTTGATTTACTCAACACGCACCATGCTATAAAATGGTGCTAGATGGTCTTCAAAGTGATAACAAGATGACAAATCATCTTTATTTTGAGTAATTGAGCAATTTACTTCTGTTTACCATCATATTTACGATGCAGCATTGATGGAGCCGTGAAATTAAATGAATATATCTTATGAAAGCTCACCAGGAAAAGTCAAAGATGCACATCAGTCTGATCGTAAAAACGTTTTCTTCTTCAATTCGAATGTTATATTGGAAGGATTTCACGCAGGCTTGATGAAAATTATGATTTAATGCTATTTTTCACGAATTTTATATGCAGTCTGTCAACATTATCATCATCATGCAGTGGCGACATCTGCGTTGAGCTTTTGCGGCAATCTTCCAATAGCTGTCAAATTTTCTTTTGGGAAAAATCCTCAAAAATTACTTTTCCGTTTTCTTTTCAGCTGCGTACCAGGCTTAATGAGTGAGCCAAAAATAATAATGATTTTCTTCGGGACCCAGTGGTCTTAGAGTTACCTCTATGGCCTAACTGCGATGATCGATTCTCTTAATCGTTTTTCTCTTTAATATGCTACAGCTAAGGGGTTTTAATTTTCTGAAATTTGTCCAATAAAGTGCTATTACAGGTTGTATTGGTTATCAAAAGCAACAGTAAACGCCATTGGCGTAGCTAATGGGGGTGCCAAGGGAGCCAGGCCCTCTCCAGAATGATTTAGACCCCCCCCCCAGGAATTTTGGGTGTTTTTTTAAATACCGGTATTCTGTCAAGCAGTTTTGAGGTTACCTTTTATTTTTATTGATTTTTATGAATGTCTACTTTTCTTAATATTCTAGACTAGAAGAATCAATGTGGAGAGAGCTCTACAAGTTGGCCAAGAGTTCAGGGATTTTTCTCTAACCTCAGGGAGTACATTGAAAATCGTAAAATTTAACGAAACTTAGTGGAAATTCTGGGAACTTTAAGAAAATTCGTAGAAACTCAGGGAGCTTTGGAAAAGTTCAGAAAATTGCGTACAAGTGGGAACATTATTTCATTTCAGGGAACCTTATTATTGTTCGGGGAATTTCATATAATTTTAGGACACTTTTTTGAAGCCTCAAGGCCCAAGCGCAATGACAGCGGAAGCAGAACGGCAGCGGCAGCGGAAAAGCCCGATCTGAGTAACCCTACTTGTCGGATTGAAAACTAGTTAGAACCAAATCGACTTCGGTTAGGCATCTTGATGTCATTTGTAACAACTGTCAAACTTTCCGTTTCCGTATTTTTTATCGAATAAACGTGTATTTTGCGTAATACTGTATTATTTTGCACTTTTTGAATACATGTAATTTTCTATGTATTAGAAAAATAAAAGTGTATTTTTATGCATTAATGTATTGAAAATCAGTTATAAGTGTATTCTGTCATTTCAGTGTTTATATTTACCACTCGAACCGAGAATCAAACAGATCAAACCGGGGGGGGGGGGTGGTGTTACGTGCTGTCAAATCAGCCCACTGATCATTCTTGTATGAAACTGGTTCCAAACGTAAACAAACGCTGTAGGTTTCTTATGGCTTGTTTACGTTTGGAACCAGTTATGCGAGGTAGGCGACCATTGTTCGTATTTGACATCTTATCTTAGATAAGATTTAGTTTTAAGATGTCAATTGTTATACTGACATGCAGGTTTAAAAACCATGTTTAAAATACTGAATTGCCAAGGCAGGAACAATGAAAAAACACTTAGATATAAATAAATAGATATAACTTAAAACCGTTCTAAGACATTTCGGGTTAAAAAAATTAACTACGAACTACACGCGTCGACGGTTCTAACGATAATGATTTATTAAATCTTGTCAAATACCTAGCTACCTTTGCCTAGTCCCTAAAACAGCTGACGTAGTACCTAGCAAAGACGATGGTCTTCCGAGTTTGTACCACTTCAGGCCACTTGGAGAAGCTGTCGACGGCGATGAGATAGTATTCGCCATCGACTGGACCGGCGAAATCGACATGAACACGTTGCCACGGATCAGATGCTTTGGGCCATGGGACAGGATCCGAGTGAGGAGGAGATCGTGCGACTGACGCACAATGTTGACAACCCTTGACGTAGGCCGTTACTGCTTCGTCAAGTGAGGGCCAGTACACATAGCTTCTGGAGAGTGCTTTCATCCTTTGGATACCGGGATGTCCAAGATGTAGTTGGCTCAAGCACTGTTTTCGGTATTGCGAAGGAATCACGAGTCGTTCTCCGAACAGGATGCAGCCATCCACTAGACTAAGCGACTCCTGCCTGGCTTGGAATCGCTTGAGTTCCGGCTCGATGAGTTGCGTTTGTGGCCAACCATCTTTGACATACCGGAACACCTTGCGAAGGAGTGGATCGGACTGCGTACCCTGAGCGACGACTCTGAAACTGAGAGGAAGAGCGTTCACTGAACATGAGGCTACCGACCTGATATCTTCCTCGAGACGGATACTGGCGATGACGTAATCTTCCTCGGGCT